GGCTGGGGGCGGTCGTCCCAGTTGACGCGGCTGTGTTTGATCTCTGGGACGAGCAGGAGACGAAGATAGTTCAGCTAGAGCTGCTGATGGTGCTGCAAGGGCTTCTCACTTTCCCGCATGTCTACAATGGCACTTTCGGAGTCTGATATGTCGATAACGTAGCAGCCTTGATGGCCTTGGTGTGCCGTAGGAGCGACAGCCTAGAGCTCGATCACGTGGCGCAGACCGTGGATATGCTTCTGTTTCATGTGCGGTGTTACCTCTACTTCGAGCGGGTGCCTAGCTGCAGCAACTGGCCTGATGGCATTTCGCGAGCTGGCTTTCAGGATCCGTGGTGGAAGTTGCACCACTTCCAGGTGCACGCCAGCACAGTACCTGTTTTATTCTGGCAATTCCCGCTTGCAGCGCGCTCTTCCATTTTCAGCTTCTTGGCACAGTGAGAGCATTGCGGCCGCAGCGTCCAAGCCAGGACGCATGGCAGGGCTCCAAGCCAGCAACTGCGAAAGCACCAGAGTGTCGGTTGGTCCAGAGGGAGAAAAAGAGTCACTGTGTGCGCGTGTTCCCATGCCTAGGTAGGGGGGGGATAGTGATAGTGCGTTGGGGTGAGTGTGTACAAATACTGCGGAAGTTAGATACAGGGAGAGGAGGGTGGGATGAAACACAACGCCCAGCACCTCTGGGTACCCCTCACACTCCGAGGTCTACACTTGAATTTTGGCCTTGAGCCAACATGCACTGCATATGGCATGACTGCAGCACGACCTACACAATGCATGACATGACATAAGATGTAGTGGAAGTGGAGTGCAAGAACGAATACAGTTCACCTGGCCTGCCCGGAGCACAATCACCAACGCACTATGGGCGAGGAGCTCATGAAACGAGTGAATGTGACTGCACAGAACGTGAATGATGAATGCCATCAGAAACTGTAGGTGTTGGGTGATGGGCGTTAAGGGACAGCGGCCATGCAGAGTGTCTCACAACTGTTGTTCATTTGGGATAGCAGGAGGTTGTAGGACAGTTCTTGCTTCCGTCCCCACGGCTGTCTCCAGGCGGGTTCTTCCTGGAGTTCATGTTTAGCTTATTCCTATTCTGAAGTAGCCGTTGCAGTGGTCCCGGGATCCCCAGGTATGGAGTTGTCATACATAAAGAGGGGGGTCCGCTCACGGTTTCCGGCCCAGGGTGCTGGCCAAAGTGCTATCTAGTCCTATGCCCTTCTGCGGGGCAGTAAGGCGAGGCCATCCAGGTTAAGGTCAGGCTTTCAAACGCTTCGGAGGTCCGATTGTAATTCCGTTTCGTACATGGAGCAGCAATTCTGCAGAGGGGCATGGAACACAAGTGGTCACGTGTGTTGAGCTTAAGTTTTAACTACACCAATTCACTGGGCACGGTAGTTCAGAGTAACTTGCAAGTGACCCGACGGCATAGCAAAAGCAAAAAACAGGCTTCTACACTCATGTACCTTCGAGCTGAGATAGAGTTTGCCGACTTTGGCCAAGGCCATAGCGCAGGGCCAGGACGCATCGGTGCGGCTTGCCTTGATTTAGACCGGGCCGGCACGGCATTGGTGAGTTGTGCGCTCCGTCATTTGCAAGCAGACGCTGTTTAAAACCTGAGCCTCGACCTTCAACATTCTAAGCCCCAAGCCAAGCCTCTAACACTCGAAAGCCCGATAGCCTCATAAACTCCACGCCGCGCAGCCGTAAAGTTTGGCTTGAGAGTTGGGTCAGAGGTTTGAGGAATTGTTTTTTTGGCTTCCGGGATTGATTGTAAAGGCTTAGCGGTCAACAATCCAGGTTGGGCGTTGAGAGATGGTCTTTCAAATTTGGATGGGACTAATGCTGAGAAGCTCGTGCGTAAAAGCCCAAAGTTAGCGCCCGTCTTGGTGCCGAGCATGACGCGTGTAGAATGTGACCCACGTGACTGGTTTTCTTAGGCATCTGCAGAGGACCTTTTCAGTTGGACCCTACTGTATGGTCTCTGATTTTGGGGGAATTGGTGTGATTGGGGGGAATTGGTCTGACAGCTAGAAACCATGGAACAAGTGGTAATCATCTTCATCTCGTTGAAACCCAATAGGAGTGCGCCAATCGCCGAACACATCCTTCAGAGGCCATTGAGCCAGGTCCGCAACAATCTAGACCAAGCATGGTGAGTCTTAGCCCCTGTTAAACTGATCCCTGAGCCCTCTCAACTCAAAGCCCTTGCCTTGTAAATGGAAAGCATATCAGAATATTGGAGAATGAAATGGAAGCAGGGCCTATACGGGGCCTATATTGAATGCAAAGTACAGTTCTAGTACCAAGCCTTCTTCCAGGAAGCCGACCTACGAGTTCGTCATGGCTTGCTTTCGCAAGCACCAGGCAGCAGCGCAGTGGCTGCAGGAGATTAAGGTCTTGGGTTCATAGTATAGGCGTATAGGGCTTAGGGTATCTGGGCTTGAGTTTACGGCTTCAGGGGATGACGGTTGAGGACCAAGGGTTTGCTTTCTTGAAATCCCCATGGTATGGGGCGTCCTCAGAATACTGCACAGGATCGGTCTGCGTTGTGGGTCAAGAGAGGCTCAGCTTCAAGCAAAGATTTCAAGCAGTCATGTACGGCCCGTTCAGGCTTAAGCGGCCCGCCGCTGTTTTGCACGATCGGGGTTGTAAGGGCAGGGGATTAAAGGCTTGTAGAGCCTGCTAATGAAATGGAGGGCTGGGCGTACCTAGCTTCGGGCTTCGGGGGTTAGAGAAGAGATTGCAATGGAGGGCGTTTGCGAGTCTGTGTCTTTTTGGAGGTTCAAGGTAATTGTAGCCAGCTGTAAGGGAATATAGGGTCTATAGAAGGCATATCTAGGATTTACATAGGGGTTGCAATTGCACAGGGGTATGTAGAGATGAAGATAGCTATAGCCTTGTTATAACTGCTTCGTGACCCCATTGAAAGCCCCTCAAGTCCCCTATTGGTTCTAATTAGGTTATAAGCCCTAGTTTCAATCGGGTTACTGAACTTGCAAGGTTCGAGAAAAAGGGAAACGCGTTTCTGGATCTATGGGGGTTCTGGGCTAGGGGGCGAGCATGTGGTATAGTGTTGCGGTCACAACCTCGGTTTCCCAGTGGCGTTAGGAAGTACCTGCTCTGGACGAAGGTAGCAGAATGATCTAGGTAGGTGGCAGGAGACCAGATGCTGTTCTTGCATCTAGTGGGTGCTTTTGCTCGTTTGCTCCAGTATTGGATTGGTGAAATGCTGCCCCTCGGACCAGTGCCACGCCAGTAAGACAGATGGCATGTGGGGATTGTTGGCTACAAACGGGTGTATTTGGGTTGTGCGCAGTGTCATCTGGAACTTGCAGCTGTTGGAATTTCATTCGACGTGCGTGCCGAAGCCCCCAAGGCACCCATACCCTCATCAAAGCCTGAAATTAACTAAGGGCGACGACGTGTTGGACTGGACCATCTTCTGCGAACTGCTGCAGAGCTTAGATCCGGACTTGTGCGGCTCTTCTCATTTTGGGTTCTTGGTTTGGGTTTGTACAAGATAGGAGTCAGGACCCAGGGTTTGGGTGTATTGTTTAATAGTGGGGCTTACTTAGGATTTAGAGTTTGAAGGCTTAGGGTTGGGGGTGTAGGTTTTAGTTGAAGATTTAGAGGGTTCAGCTGTATCGTTTTTGCAGCTCTTCGATGCCTCTTAGTCCTATGGGTCCAGCTGGTACAGTAGTGCTTCAAATTCTGAACCGACGCCTTGGGCCCAGCAGTAGGCGCAGCATTCTTTTCGCGGTGCAGTCCGGGGGCACTAAGTTGAGAAGCACCCATGTCGCATTATTGCGGGCTCAGAAAATATGCCCGGAAGAAAGAAGTGCAGTGAATTGTTTGTTTTTCATGTAAAGTACGCTGTAGTGGGTGTTCCGCAACTTCTTCAGAATGTTGCTCGCTACCACCAAATGCCAATGTCACCTGGTGTACGTCAAAGTCCCAGTGCTCAATCACTCCCCCATCTCTTCCCATAGCGTGGGGAATGTTTCGTATGGATTACTGTAGTAGTTCTACCAGTGAGGGGCACTTGCAACCCGCAACATGAGGACCCTACAAAAGCCGCGCGATATTCATAGGATATTCGTAGGGTCCTAAAGTTGGGGAACGAAACTACTCTAAATCGGAGCCTCGCGCAGTGAGCGGAGGCAAGGGTTCAAAGGGATGAGGGCCAGGGTGTAGACTGTGGGGATTACGGTTTAGGGAATAGGGTTTAGGGCGTATAGGGTTTGGGAATGAGGGTCTATAGAGTTTCGGGATGAAGTGTAGGGCATGTGGGGGTTCGTGATGGGTTCGTGTGCAAACTGGGTTCTCGTGCCATCTTAAGCCGTGTTCGTGCCATCGTTCGGGCCCCCTAGTACTTTTGTTTGGTCCCGGTAGGCCCCAGGTTCGTGATCTGCTCCGCCTGCCTCGGAATGCACACCTTCGCGGCTAGGTTGTGGGCGCAAACCATGCCGGGTTCGCACTAACCCTGGTAGGCTAACTTTGTGGCAGGCCTGGAGGCTTCGTGGAAGCAGTTGCTTTCCGTTCCAACCAGTCTTCACTTCCAACGTTTCGAATAAGTTTGCTTTGGGTACCGCGGCGCTGCTAACTTCGCTTCATACCCCCCCCCCCGCCCTCCGAATGTGCTGCCCCTTCTAAGCGCTCCCTAACTTTGCAAATGGTTCCCGGACCCTTATCTATCGAAATGGGAGTGTTGCGATTGTTGTGGGCTACGTTTTGGGTTATCCATAAGAAGAATCCAGGTGTTGCACTTCAATCTCAACCCACCGGCTAATTCACGCTTCCCAGAATGGTTTTATTTGTGGCACAGTGTTCCGGAGCAACTAAATGATCACCCTATTGTAGGGCAAACGCCCACATCCTGACAGGGTAATGTCATAGAGCTCCTTACGGCTGCTATTGACAACGATCGTGTTTAGTAATAGGCCTACCTATAGGAATGATAACAGTTTAGGCATGTGAAGCCAGGCACGGACGCCCTGCTCACGGAGCTACGCTTCCGCTTCTTCGATGTGCCTGGGCAGCACGCTACGGATGAACACGCATTCTTGGTTCCTGAGGGGCCCAGGGAACTTAGTGATTGATCATCCCATATACCACAAATTGCCCTGGGGCCTTCAAGTAGGAATTGGGAATTTGATCCTCGCAGTGGAGAGTGGTCCGGATATGTTTGCCATCTCAATCCCTGCAGTGGTCCTAGGGCCGCGTGAAATATGGAGATGTCTACTGTCCTGCAGTGCGAGGATCGGGGCGAGTAGGGAAAGGGACTTTAATCCTTGTATAAGCACTAATTACATAGAATTTTCCCTTATTCCCTACTAGCCCCTGTTAAGAGTATGAAGTGTCATGGAGTGCTCCAGGAAGAGCAAGTTGTGTTTTGGCATGGGTAGAATTTTCCAAAAGATGTACACTGAGCATGAGCATGACTACTACTTAGCACTCTCTTTGTTAACGTTGTAATTTTGATAGTGACTAATAGTAGCTTCAATCTGGCTAGCTATTCCACGAGGTCTGTAAGGCGTGCCTTTTTGAGGTTCCACATATGTTGGGAGACTGACGTGCTACTACTCCTGCGGATGCTGCCCGTTGCAACTTCCATTCCTCAGGTTATTGGTATGCTTATACCACTACTGCTGCTGCTGCTGCTGCTGCTGCTGTTGCTGCTGCTACGCCCACTGCCACAATTTTTGTCGCTGCTACGGGCACCTTTACTACCACAGCACTTCCACCTTGTACTCATTCTGGAAGGCGAGTATGTAATTCCCATGCATACGCCATTCATAGTTCACACATTCACTCTCCCACCCCCTAGACTAGAAATGAGCATTCTACAGCTATCATAGGACTATAATAAGGTCCTTGTTTTGGGGGTGCTACCAAATCCTTGCACTACCTTGAGAACCTGCAGGCCAAGGAGCGTGGGGAAGACAAACCACCAGACGGCGGCCACTTTGGGACCAATCCTGTGAAGCTCGAGGCAGTTGAGGGCAGGTAGCTTTAGGGTTGAGACTTTAGGGGTCCCTTTTAATGGGTCTAGATGGGGTATGTACATGGAGGGTTTCCCACATATCATGGGCCTCTTTCTGGGATTTGGATGCTAAGGATTGCAGTATTTTGGAGGTTTCAAGGTTTTTGCAAGCTCCCATATGTGTGGGAGCTCGGTGCATGGTGTGGAGTAGCTTGCTTAGGTGTACTTTGGGTAAGGAGTTGGCTGTATGAGATTTATATCTTCCAAGCCTAAACGCTAAAACCTAGTCAACCTTAAGCCCTACAGCCTATACCTTAATTTCAAAATCCTTCAGCCTGAATCTTAATTTCTAACCCCTAGTAGACCCTAAACCTTAGAGACTACCCCTTTGTTCCACAACCCTACTAAATCCTAAACTTGGCCCTAAACCCGAAAGCCTAAACCTTAGCTCCTAAATCCAAGTAAACCCTGGACTTGGTCCTCAACCCTAAAGTCAAAGACTTAGTTCACAGATTCTTGGCCCAAACCCTAAAGCCTAAACCTTAGTTCCTAAAACCTTAGTACATCCTGGACTTGGCCCTAAACCCTAAAGTCTAAACCCTCGTAAACCCTAAACTAGGTCCTGAACCGCCGTGGTTCACAAATTCTAGTGAACCCTAAACCTGGCCCTAAACCCCAGAGCCTAAGCCTTAGTTCATAAACCATAAACCCTAGGGTGATATGTTCAGGTTTAGGCTTGAGGTAGGACTGCAAAGATGATGCGGCATAGACTGGGCTGCTGTTAAGGAAGTTGAATTGAGTTACTATAATGTGGGTATATGGGGTTTAGGGTTAAGGGTTTTCGGATTAGGTTACTATAAAATTGGTGTATAGGGATAGGGTTTAGGGATTCCGGCAGTCGCCCAGTGCGGGTTGAAAAGGGTTTGGGGTTGCCAAATTATGGATGTACAGTAAACAATGGGGTTTCCTTCTTATAGTCACTTGACTGAAGTTCCTCAACAGCAACCCATGTAGTTCTGAAGGGTGTAAATGCGCTGATGGTTCTTGTGCCAGGGCTGTTTGGAATGCAGGCCGGTGTGCTTGGCTTGGTGTGCTGTAGGTGCCACTGCACAAAGGATATGGGGGGGTTCCCAAATTGAAGGGTTCCTTTTTGGGGGTCCCTATAGTAAGGACCGTGACTCTGTATATTGGGGTCTATACTGAGGTCTCCCTATCTAGGAAAACTACCATTTGTGAATTTCGCGAAAATCGCTGTTATAGGGATCCCGTCAAAACCAATCCTTTTTCTTTAAGCCGTAGATCCCTGTTCCGATGTATCCCAATAGATATATATACACATATATATATATATATATACATGCCCCACAACGTTTTTGAAAGAGACCCGGTTTTTTGGAAGCAACCTTGTGGAGAATAGCAGGATTGCCAAGGCAAGGTTTCAAGGTTGGGGCCGCCGTTTCGATTTACTTACTGACGGTTCGTAAGGAATAGGGGATTATTATCTATGTATAAGCTTTTTCCCTGCTAACCGCCAGGTTTAGGGTTAAGAGTTAATGGTCTGGGGCTTACAGTGTAGGGTTTAGCGGTTTAGTGTCGAGTTGCTACTTTTCATAGATAGGTGGACCCCAAAGTAGACTCCCCTTAGATTTCTACCCTTATTATTGAGTCCTCCAAAATGGTACCCCTAATTTTGGGAATTCCCCATTTTGAGTTAAGGACTAGGGGTTTGGGGCTTACAGTTTAGGATTTGAGTTTTTCGGTTCAGGGCTTGGTGTTACTCAAGACTTGGTTGCCAGGTTAGAAAATTGATGGAACGAACCTATGCCACAGTTGAACTGTTTTTGGCGTTCGTTTCAATTTCTGTAAGGAAACTTAATCGTTTTGGAAGCAGCAAGGAGTGGCACTGATACAGGGGGGCTGCGGGAGATGATGAAGGCAGTTTCTCAGGGCGCGCAGATGTAAACTCTGCTCAGGCAATTCGCCATCCTCCGTCTGCACTTCCATCCAGGGTATTGCAGCCATCAGAAATGGCCCACTACTTGGAACGAGTACGTGAGGAGCTCATGTTGCGACGCAGGACAGCAACGGAGCAAAGACGGGGAGAGCCCCAGCAGCAGATTCATTAGTTTGGAAGGCCATTCGCGTCTCAGGAACAAGCTGGGAGATGCCGATTTCAGTTTGGTCATATACGCTGGCGCTGTCCATACGCCAAAACAGGGCTTGGGGCTGAGAAGTACTTAGGCCCGAATTGGGCGTTTCTCAGTTTCGGCGTCCTGCGCGTCGCAATCGCCAGCTGGCAGAAGGGGGAGCGACGAGTTTGGTCCTGCACACGCGTGACTTAAAGCTCGGTGTGTGAGGCTGATACCCTCACCCGAAAAAGCATTGGATACTATTGGGACCTGAATACCCGGCAATATGATATTGCTGTTTATTTTAGGTACCTCATTACCATACTTATGCATGGCATTTGGGACCATCGCAGTACACGCAGCAGACGCAGCAGAGGTAGTAGCAGTCGTCGTCGTCAATACATATACCCTCAACCCTCTACGTCCTTCTAAAACCTCCTATATAGCCCGCATGTAGCCCCTACAGCACCCCTTGAAGGGGTTCATGTCAGTTTGGGAAGCATACATTTTGATGTGATTTAGGCCTACGGTCTAAGTCTAGGATTTAGGGTGTACGAACTAGGGCTCAGGATTTTCTAGTTTGGGGTTAAGGAAGGGTCCCAAAATAGCACCGCCCGGACGCCCGCACCCCAAACAAGAAGGGGACTTCGGTAGACCCTATATATAGCTATCATATGAGTCTTAAAGAGTTCCTATCATCAGGGTTCAGGTCACCAAAGTACCTTTATCATTACCAAACACGGCCCAAACACATTTTAATCTGGCCTTATCTGATCTTTGCCTCCCGGGTGTGAGGGAGCAGCGATCCTGCATGCTCCGTCCACTTTCTGAAAACGGAGGGGAAGGGCCGGTGTGATAAACAGACTGCTTTGCCGACAGCTCTGCGAGGCTCACAGGTTCATTCAGGTTGTCTATGGGTGCAGAAGGCCTTTGCTTACCAAGTGATCCTCGCCACTAATGATAAGCCCGCCACCCCTAATAATAAATGTTCCCAACATTGTAGCATTTTTTGTTTGGTTTCATTAGGGGAGGGCTTGCTGTTGAACATATCCTTTCCTGACCTTCCTGGATCGAAGCCTTACTGCTGCTCCGCAGGATTTTGTGATGTGGATCTTCGCTTCTCAAGAAGGACTATGGGACAATTTACCAACCCCGCTCAACTCCACCCTCAAGGACTTGTGATGGTTCTAGGGGTGCTTCTTGCGGGCTACTATAGAGCATTGTAGTGAGATCATTGCAGAGATCCACTCCCCTCAGCTTTCGGGTTTTGTGGGAAGAGAGGACGTAGTGCTGTTTAAGCACCGTTTGTCTTCAAAGCTTGTGCTGCTGCACACGTCCCAAAATCATGAATATAGTCGATTTTGCAATGCTCAAAGCTTTTGAGGGGCACGTTGTCCAAGAAAGATATTTTGGTTGCCCTAAATTTTCAGTCGACCCCCAGGGAACACGAGCTGTAGGCTCCCGTAGGCCAAAAACTATTGATCCCGCACTTTAAGAAGTGGCAAAACTTTAAGCATCGGTGAAAGCAGACAGGAACGCGACCCTGAGAACTACAGAATTCAGGAGTAGTATCAGAGACACTGCTTCCTGTCGCAAGGCTTCAGAGCTTCAGTGCCATTTCGACTGACAGAGGAAGAGATATTGTTCCGGCTGCCATCTCTGAGGAACGCATTTGTGCCCCAAGTTGCCGCCCGGCACTCTAGATCTCAACGCTGCAGCCGCCTCAACTGCAGATCCAAGCCCCTCAGACCCCTCAAAGCTTCAACCCTAGGCCCGTACCCCATTCACTTTTGATTTGAAGCTTGCAGGACCCGTCCCCTCCATCAAGCGATCGATCTCGCTGAAGAAGCAGCCGCTGGGCTGTGACAGTGGGCCTTGAGTTGTGAGACGTGCGAAGCTCGGGGTTAGGAGGTTCCCATGACCTCCGCGGCAGTTTCGGGCTTGGAGTAAGAGTCGCATGACGTCCTGTGATCCTCCTATACTCTTTTGGAGGCATGGGTTTCTGGCATGGAAGTCTCAACCCGGAGCCGTCAATCCTGAAATCCCTCGAGTGGCCCCACACCCCAACCTCTTGGAGCCAGAGAGCCTTCTACTATATACCATGCTATCTCTTGAGGTGCTCTCCAAAGGAGGCCTTGCAGGCATGGGGCAACAGTTGTGTTCCAGCTGCACCTCCTGCCATTTCCGTTTCACGCAGGGGCCTTTCTTGGGGTCATGTAGTATCATGTTTGTCTTGCATTAGTGGCAGGTGCTGGGATGGTGCCTGATTTCATGACGGACTCGGCTTCAAACTTGCAATGTCTCGCTTACACGTGCATCTATTCATGATATTAAGCCCATGTATTTAGCTCGGCGTTGATGCTTATCATTGCATTTGGAGATGTTGGGAGCAATCAGGGATGCTAAGTTCCTCGTTGGTAACTGGCAAGCTGGAAGGCCATCTTAAATCAGATTCCAAGCTCATGTGCATTTAGTCTACTCCTCATGCCATCAGGCAAATCCAATTAAGTGGCTTCACCCGAGTCACCCGATCGTTTGACTCGGCATCCTCCTTCCAAAATGCCCTATTACAAGGTGGGTGCCAGAGTAGACCATGTTCAGATTATGTGCCATTACTGTAATCTGTAGTTGTCACCGTTTTGGGCAGCGCTCCTTGATCTAGAAATCTAGACCTCCCAAAAAGCTTGAGCCATTCCCTAAAACACCGCAGTATGATGTCCCCGTGCTCAATCTCGGTTTAGCAGCAATTCCAGGAAAGTTGGTCCCCCAAACCAAACATGTATCATGTTATCGGGGTAGGGGGGTAGAAATAGGAGAACTTGTGAAATATCTTTTGTAAGTCCCATGTGCGCACGGACCTCAACATGAAAAAGTGGCAGCACCTCGAAGACCGAAAGACTTTTTTCTCTGGGGCAGGGGACCGCGGCAGGCGTGGAGGCCGTCATTGGGTTGGCATCTTGCGCTGTCTGACCTTCCGCTTTGGCAGTCCTTTCATTTGGCCTGAGGGTAGATATTCGCAGATTCTGGATTGTGGGTTTTGGCACAAATCCGGCATGTCGCAGCAGATTCCAGTTCCAGTTTGCATTTTCATGAGGTCGATTCTTGTCCAGCAGTTTCAGTTGCTTCCAAGCTTCGCCGCTGAGCTTTCAAGACATGAGTGGGGACACAATCAGAGTTGGCGTGCTGGGGTAGCATCTGAGCACTGTCTGGTCCTTGCACCACCATGTGCAACATGGGCTTGTAACCTCAGGCCGCTGACGTATGCTAGGTGCCATGAAGCTCGTGATACATATCCCTTGCGAGCCCCGCACCTTTCCTGAATTCGTATGAAGATGCAAAAACGGATCACCGCCGTCAGGAAGCAGAAGCGTCAGCGCAGGACAGGCACTGAGACTGCCAGCAAGCATAGGCTGTCAACTTTGAGAGACGTGTTTGTGTGTGTCTTGGTCAATGAATCCTCCGAGCGCGCAGTTGCTCAAGTCAAAGCTGCCTCTCTACCAAACAACCGCTAACATTTGATCTTAGCCTTGGGACGTTTGGGCCTTTGCGCCACGCTGGCACCTTTGGAGACTTTTCATGCCGTCGCTGAGGCTTTGGAGCAGATGGACGAGCAGATGAAGGCCAGTGCGGGGTAGATCATAGGGATGATCGGACGATTTTCCTTGAAGTCGGTGGGCAATCTAAGTAGGTTGAGGCGCATTTGACATCTTCTGGCAGTAGCTTGGGTGGAGTTGAAGTGGGTTCTGCCTTGTAGGCCTCCGGGGCTGGATTCACTAGGTTTAGTAGCATGTCGGGCCGGCAGTGGCTTCAAAAGATTTCATATTGGGCTTCTCGCAGCTGCCCGCACTTGTGCCTCGTAGCTCAACATGGAAATCCGCCAGGGTTCGCCTACGCAAGCGCAAAATGTCATGGAAAAGATCCAGGCCCACCGGAGAAAAGACCAGTGCGCCCGCTCGCCCTGGCTTGAACTCCTGAAAAGTTTGACAAATGCTTGGAATGGGTCTACCAAGCACTGTTTAGGCTTGGCATCCGCAACTAGCTGCGCAGGCTGCCAGCATGGAGCAAGCCAAGCCATGTCAGCTGCAGGACGAAGGGTTTGCATGGCTTTGATTATGTGCGGAACCGATTGCAGCACAGTCACAGGCAGTGAGCATGTGAGCACCACGTCAGCAGGGTCATCTGTGCTTGAAACCGAGGCCGACGCTTTGGATTTGTTTGTGACGAGCGGGGTTCAGGAGGCTTTGGTGTTTGAGAGACTTCGTAAGTCTCGCATTTCCATACCAACGGCCTCAGAGGGTTTCGCAGGAAGCTACATAAACGGTTCAGCAGGTTCTGGGAGCTCTGGAGGGCAAGAAGTATCAAGCTTTCTGTTTACATGTTGTCAGCCGTGTGCAGTTGATTGCAGTTGGGAGTCATGTGGTCGCATCTCTCTGTCCAGGCCAAAGCGAGCGAAGGAGACCCATCTAGTATGTCCCGGCCTTCCTCCGTCATGAGCATTACAGACGACATGCATCTGCTGCGCTTCACAGCGCAGGAAGGGCCATCGGTCTTGAGGGACACCTCTGAGATTAGCTATCACGGGAGCATCAAACCTGGTGCCAAGTATTGCTGGATCTCTTTTCCTGGAAAGTTTGCGGCTGGTTGGGATGCTCTGACCAAAGAGTTGCACGGAGACAGCGTCGCTTGTGTCTTTCTCTGTACGCCAGAGGATGGCTTGGGGGAGCATCATACGGATCCAGAGGACACCCAGGGACGCTGCCTTTGCCATAGGATCTACGGAGTGAGAGACTACGAGAGGTTTGGCTATCTTCAGCGGATGGCTTCACCTTACACCGAGGAGAGGATAGTAAAGGCAAAGAGAAAAGCTGATGCCATGAATGCCGTCCACATTCGTGAAGATGCGCCTCCAGATGAGATGAGAAAGGCGATTGCTGAGGCGGAACGGCGTTGGAGACGAAGCGGCTGCGTAGCATCGTGGGGATGTGAGTGGTACCACGCTTCTCTCCTGCACTTATCCCGGCTAGGGATTGCCAGCAGTAAGTCTAGGATTTCGAGGGAAAGCCACGCGTTGGAAGCACGTAGTGGCAGAGGCTTTGGGGTTCTGGCCTGCCAACTCTTTAGAGGTGGCCTCCCAACTAGATGCCTTCCGATGGGGCCGGCGGCAAGAGCAAAGAGAAAAGCCGCAGCAGTGGCAGTAGCAGTGGCATCATTGGTGCTGAGAGTGGCAGCACTCGCTCGAAAGATCAGTAAGCATATTCATTTATGTAAGGGCCCTTGAAGATAATTATTGTAGTGTTCAAGCGTAGCGCGCTTCAGAGCAAGGTAGCGTCATCCATTGTTAGCTCGGTAGGCGCGGTACAGCATAGCCACAGCTTAGGTGTGGCTGCAAAAAGTGAAGGAAGCTGTCGCAGATGGGCAGAGATTGAAAGTCGTGTTTTTCCCTGGTCAAGTTGGGAAAGGCAAACTGACGATGGACGAGCTGCGGGATCCGGAGAAAGATCCCTGGGATGGGGTGGGATGTGGCGGCTCCCAGAAGTGCGAGATTGCGACTGTGGAAAAGATGAAGGAAGTGGAGGGTGCTGCGTGGGAATATGATGAAGTAGATGTTTCCGATTTTCTTCTGGAGACTGCCCTTCACGTTGAACAGGCTGTCGAGGCTTGGGATGGCAGCAGATGGAAGAGAGGGACCGTCGTAAAAATCCATGGCAAAGACTCGACAGGCGCTGGCATGAAATGGACCGTGCTATGTGACCACTCGGCTGACAATTTTGAAAGTCATCACGTCAGGCCTGTCGATTTCGCTGATATTACACTGCAGAAGCTGGCCGAGGAAACAAGTTTCAACTTTATTCAGACATTGCGCAGGCTCCTTCCTGAGGGTCAAGAGGTGGTCGGATTTCCTGAGATGCAGAGGCTCTGCAACGGCACTTCGGCCATGACAGTCCAGCTTAGCTGCGAGAGCGTTCGTGGACTGCATAGGCTCCGCGGTCTGGTTCTCTCGGGAGACCTTGAACATCAGTTGAACGAAGCATTGTGGAAAAACCGCGCCCATGGACCATGGCACCTGAAGGTTTACAAGACCGAGCTTGTGAGAAGTTACAAAAGAGCCCTGATGACTCGCTACCAATGCTATAACCTCACACCGCATCAGCAAACGGTATTACAAGAGCTGGATGGGTCAAAGAATTTTCACCTCTCAGCAGCTGCGGGGTCAGGAAAGACGTTTGTCGCGGTGCAGCGGGTGCTGGACACTCTAAAGCAACATGATGGGATGGCTTTGTTTGTAGCTCCAACCCAGTCTCTGTGTCTTCATTTTCTACGATGGATTGCTATGATGCACGCCGGAGATTTAGTCGAAAGGTCGCAGCGAGCAGCAATCATGGCCTTGTTTCGTCGACTGAGGCTGCTGCACAAGCCCTACGCTTGCTTTAGGAAAGTGAGAATGGAAAGCAACTTGCTCGTTCTGTCGGATGACAAAGATGTCAGCTATGAATTCCTTGTGGCTGTTGTGGATGAGAGCCACGACATTTACCGTCCATGTCCTTGCAAGGGCCCTGACAGTGCTCAAATGCAAAAATCCCAAACTACACCACCCGCAGGCCAAATTCTGAGCGTGCTCCCACCTCTATCATCCTGCCTTCAAGCTCAGACGCCGAATGCTCAGAAGCAAATAAATCTGCCTGGACAAGGGTCTGTGATAACTTCCATCATTATGAAAACAGAAACTGGACCTTGAATCCGCTGCGGCAAGTCAAATTCCCACCACCCAAACCAGGGTCTAGAAAGTATAATCATACCACACCAGACCTACCTTGACAAGGAGTGCTCATGCAACCGTCAGACAGGCATAAGCAACCCAACCAATGGCCTCCATGTCTTTTCTGGTCTCCTGCGCCAGAGTAGGTCTTTCGAGGTTGAGGGCTCTCATTCTCATTTTCATCCCGCAGGAGGGATCAAATCATTCGCGGCTAAAGGCTGCTAGGACAGTGAGGACGCGGGACTAATTAAATAGTTCATGACTTCTCTTAATTCAAATAGCCCCTCCCCTGTACTGACATCGTGCATTCGAATTGGCCTAAGTCTCAGAAATCGCCGCCGAGAGGGATGTAGGAGTGAAATCAAGTGGACAAAAAGCCAATTCGGACGTCTAGATCCAGGAGTATTGCTTGCATACGGTAATGGTACGTAAGCTTCAAACTTGAATAGACTGGGGGACTTTCAAATGCTCGAGCATTTCGGGAGCTGCACGATGTTGAATGCTCGAGCGAAACAACGAGTATCTGCCTTGCCTGTTTGCCTGAGGGGGTATGCCTCCACATACCTCCACGCTCCGAACCTACCAAGCACACGCCACCAACTTCAAGGAAACACAGACATCACTACCAACCTCCCAGCACCGGCCTTGTCCTGTGCGTCCGTCTGCTCCCCAGCCCCCGATGCACCACGACTGAAAGCCTTCAGAGGCGCGCGGGGGTGGTGCCGGAAACGAGTCCAAATTGGAAGGTTAGAAGTCGTCTGTTGGTGCGGCAGCTTGGAGCAAGGATGCAGCTGAAGATTCCATCAGCCAAGGCTGAGAAAGATCTCGACAAATTATCAACCTGCGGTTTTACTGGAAGTCTATGCTGATGCTTCCGCTGCCTGACGGCGATGATCAGCTTTCTATATATCTTCTTGCGAACTCAGCACAGGTTCGGTGATCTCCAAGGACGCACCTAGATCTCTTCATAACATTAGGCATACAGCAAAGGACCCAATCTAAACCCAAGCTACAGCCGGAAGAGCCTAAGTCCATCAAAACAAGTCATAGCTTCACATACCTCCATGCAAGAGTTTCTGAGAAGCAGTCATTATTCCCACGACCTGCCCAGCGCAGGCCTCGACCTCTTGGTCGGTCTCTTCCCCAGCCTCGGAAGCGCCATAGTTTAGGGTTTTAGGGTGCCAGGGATATGCAACGGCCCAGGCCAAGTTCAAAAGCCAGGGCTTGGTGTCTCGTTGCGACAGGTGTGAATATACATAAAATACACACACACACACACTCATACATGTATATATATATATATGTATCTATATATGTATATACACACTGGTATAGACCTGTGTGTTGAACCACGACCCCTGGATACGCGCTACATGTAGAAATTGTTTTGAAAATCTATCCGGAGAGAAACAGAGGGGTTGGGATGACGAAGGAATTACGAAGAATGCCCCAACATGCCAACTCATGATTGTGCTCCCAACTACGCCTTCTAAGCCAAGAGGCCGATAGCTCGGAACTGGAGCTGCTGGGACAAGAGATGTCCTCACAAGAGCACAATCAGGACATGGACTTCGCTGGTGCAAAGTAGCCTTGCATGAAACCCAAACATCTACGCAGATGTACCTTCAGCGCAAGTTGGAAGACTGCTCAGGCGGCGGTCAAAGAAGCATAACGATGCCAACCCAACCGATGGCCTCGATGTGTCTCCCGGTCTCCTGCTCCAGAGAGAAGGTGCTTGTCTGTTTAGTTACAGAGGGGGATGGATTCGTTTGCGGCTAAACTTTAAACGTTGCTAGGACCTCGTGGACATGGGGTTAAAGATTTCATTGCATCTCCCCGTAAAATCCCCGCACCATCGCCCAACTTCCTCCTTGCAAGATCCTGCAACAGTGCTCTTCCCGCTGCACGCTGGGATTGCGGTTCTAGCATGGCTGGCTAATCCCAGTGGAAGCCTCAGTCTATCCATCATCTACCTCTTGCTAGAAGGTTGCAGCTCAAAGCTTTCAGATTGAATGCTCGATGTTGAAGTTGTCGTTTTGCAGGTGCAGAGGAGCTGGCGACCAGGAGTGTGCAGACTTTTCAGAAGCTGCTGGCGGTCTTGGCCTGTTACATTTGCAGCTCCACTGGCCCCTTAAGCTCTGAAGCCTGAGCGCTAGAGCTTCTAGGGCCGAACCCTACAGACACCGCAAAACTTAGTAGCCCAGTCGAGGGAGCGTGATGATGCCCAGGATCTACTTTAGCTGTCGAGCCTTCTGCTTAAATTAACCCATCATGTAGACGCTTTACGCACAAAACCTCTCCCATGCCGGTACGACAGCCCCTTTGGACATGGGTTGCGTATATGGGCACGCCTGACTGGAACAATCGTCGAAGCAAGGGTAGCCCTTCCGCTGCCCTTCTCAACGAAAAGAAACTGATGATGCATAATTATACTACTCCCCATCACCACCGGCGAGATCAAGAACCTTGATTCCTACCAATGCAAAACCAACAACAACATTACTGCGCGAAATAGAAGTGGCGCGGGAGGCAGCCGGAACATGACTTTTGCTCTGGGCCTGCAGGGCGGTGTCCGTTGGAGAGAGCCCCGAGAGGCAGCACGGGACAGTGGAAGAATCCCTTAGTTTCAGGTTTGGCGTCTGTTCCCAAAGGATTCGAGGCTTGGGTTTTATGAAGGTTTCGAACTTACTACACCGAAGGCTCAGGGCGCAGGTATTTTGAGGAGGTGTTGAATGAGGACTTGAAAACTGCAGAGTCTTCAGGATTCTGTTGGAGTTCCTGATCACAAATGAAATGGCTCCACAGTACTGTGTCTGGAGCAGCTAGATCAAGGCAAGCCGCGGCGTTGCTTCTTGGCATGATGTTGCGGCCTTGGCCATGTCAGAAAAGACTATCAGCTCCAAGGTCAGGGGTCTATGACCTCTTCGCTGCATAAACCGAGCTGTTAGTCTCTGCGGGACTTGAATGCGCCATATCTATGAGCCAGGCATTGCACTGCGAAAGTGTGGTTAGGTGGCATGACAGAATATGGGGCACAGAGACTATACTTTAACGAATTTTACAGGGACTGGCAGGAATCCATTTCCCAATTTACTCATACGCCAGTAAGGTTATGTACACGCAGACTCATGTTCGGATTGGGGTCTCCTGCCGGCACTTCTTGAAGGGAATAAAACATTTGGCTATCCATGGCATGTCATATGCAACATGCATGATGGCGATCATCATGGCAAGGCGGCTGGTGCAAATTTAGCCGAGCATCTGTTTTCAACGCCTTGTTCTCCTTCTTCAGCTCCGCATTTTCGCAGCGGAGCTGTGCGATAGTCAGCCGCAAGGTACGGAGCTGCTCCTTTTTTAGTGTTTGGGAAGTTTTTGGCCCTGTGGTCCTGTGGGCTGAGGACTGTTTGGGAGCCATGGTTGTGGCCAGCCCCTCTGGACTCCGGATTCCGGAAGCGATTCCTTACCACGTATCAATGGCGCGAGGACTCCTAGTAGGACCTGGGAAGCTCAGTTGAGGTAACTACCGCTGAGACCTGCGTAAACCTGAGCGTCACCGGCCCTAGCAGGTCATGCCAAGCCGTTCAGTATTGTGATGTGAGAGACCTTAGCATTCAGCGTGAGCTCGAAGGACTGGTGGTTGAAGGTGTAGGCTGGATTCATACCCGACCCTCCTTGACTTCGAGGCCTGACATGAAATTACGGTGTAGGTCTTGAATGCAGAAAAATTTAGTCTACGCAACGGCGTATCTCCACACAAGGGCAGAAGACTCATGTAGAACGAAGCCTTTGCAGAGACAGGAAGGCATGTCATATCATATTTGATGAAGGCCTGTGGCATGCCTGCCCCAGGCAATTCTCTAGAGTATTGCGCAGAGGCTTTTCTTCTAGAAATTTGCAACTGGTTCGCAGCGGGACAAGGGAACCTCGGTGACAACTCATACCCGTAGCCCTGAGCGTCCTTGACCGAAGGACATCATTTCCAGCTGTTGAGTTTTGTCGTGTCAAAGATATTGGTATTCAACGGTAGCTGGAAAACCTGCTTCCCTCTCTCAAGGACAGGAATGGAAGCTCACTTCTGAAAGAGTAGTGCGTCAAGCGTAGTTCTAACCGAGTTCACTTGTCATATTGATTACCCCATCCCTCTGCTTAGGGTCTCCTGGCTTTGTAGGGATCATCCTCTCATGTAATAGGCAATTAAAGGGGCTTCCCCTTCATCTGTCAAACGTGGATTTGCGCGCTATAGTGTGGGTTGAAGGTGAGCCCAAAGGCGTATCCCCTGCGATGCTTTAAATACTACCTACACCTATGGTTCTTCGGTCTCAGAAAAATAAGGCCCAGGTGCAAGGGTACAAGCCTCATGTATGGCGAAATCCCTCCCAGTCCAGTGTCCTGGAGCTGGCAAACCTCCCAGCTGCTGGCTGAATGAGCTGGTTCGTCACAGTCGGGCATACCGAACCAGCGCTGTATGCAGCTATCTTCCGGCTCAGAAGAAGGGGCTCTGCGTTGAGTGGGATGGGGCCTGCGTGAAGTTGGTCCTTGGCCGACACGCATGATGAGAATGATGACACAGAAATGCGACTGCGCATTCGCACATAATGGCAATGACACAAGCACAGGCTCTGCATAACATGTTCAAGATCCCATGAAGCACCCACAAATGATTCTGAGGTCTCCGCTGAACAGATACCAGATCCTGGTTGCCTGGCTGTAGCCAGTGAAGAGTGTTGCGCAAAGGTGTGGGTGCAGGAGGGTCCGCACAAATGAAGTTCATAGGTGCTGGGGCCGACTAGGGGCTTCAGATAATAGATAGGGCTTACCGTCCCCAACCGCTTGGAAAACAGCGTTGCGAGGCCTTTCACGAAGCCTGGGCTCCAGACATGTGACACGGTCATACATGATGGGGTCATGGAATTAGACATGTACATTGCTAAGGGGTTTATGGCAGGCAGAACGGCAGAACAGTCAAATGCAATCAGGAACGGAGTGGCACCCCCATTTTCCAGCCTCTGCAACCTCACATACAAAAGTCATGCCAGAACCAGCCTCAGAATTTTTCCTAACACTCAACCGAAGACAGCCCTGCGGACACACAACCCCCGAATCCAAATGCCGAGGAAATGCTCTGCGACGATGATCTTGGCAATGGCATGTAACTCGTGAAAAATAATACTTGTAGAAAGAATAGAACTATTCGCAATAATAGTAAAAAGTGTATTATTATTAGTATTCGTAGTAATGACAGTAATAGTCCTGAGACATCGTTTGGTGACAGCATGCCATGAGCTAAAATATTGGTCAGAATTCCAGATAACTTGAATAACGTCGTCAAAGCGCACTAACTGTCGACAGGCTATGTTTTCGAAATAATGGTGATACTAACTGGCCCAGAAGAATAACCTCAACCCTTACCCCTAAACCCCACATCACAATCATACGAGCAACAATACAAATATCTATGAATAAGAATACTAAAGCTACTAAGGATAATGTGAACAGGAATAGTACTCCGCATAGTTTTACTAACTTCTGCAGCGTGCCTTTCTGCAATGCCAGGAGCCTGACTGCGAAAAGGGATTTAGGGTCCAGGGATGCTTTGGGCTTCGGTGAGTCCTGGGAGTGCTGGGATTTTAAAATCTGGGCTGCAAAAGATAGCCGCATGACAATGGAGAGCTGAAGTGTTGCTCCCCTGACCGCAGCTGACTGTGCTGAGCTGGAAAACTGATACAGATTGAATTCCGCAGCCGCGGCTCCTTATGCTTGCCAGGAAGGGAAGCGTATAGCAGAAGTGGAAACAATCATGTACTTCAGAGTACTGCTAAGCTTATTGGCAGGAGCCTTAGGCAGAATGCGTCTTGAGCCAGCCGTGGGAATCGAAGCAAGAAGGCATGCTCAACTATCCACCACGCAACATAGCTACAGCACCAGAAACTTTAGAATTCGCCGTAATGCCGGCTATGTGTGCAAGTCCGCAAAGCTGAGAAACTGGACCAGTACCAAACCAATAATGACAGTACTAACAAAACATGAGTAGCACGTAGGCTTGCAAACAATTGCGCGCTTCCCTTCCTTCACATCGCCTCCCCCAAACCCAAACACTCCACAGACACTACATGAGCTGTAGTCTAAACTCCTAGTATCCCCCTTAATAGCCCCTATAATACTCCCTTATATAATCCCCCATATACCCCCCTTTATGGAGTTTAGACTATAGTACACATCAAGCCGACTTCCCGCCTGGTGCACATTATCCTCAGCGGCCACGCCTAGCCTCAGGGCTCCACAGCAAGAAAAGCCATTATAAAGGCCATTCGTTTTAGGAATGGTGATGTCCCCAAGGAGAAATCAAGTTGAAGCAATGGGAAAAAGAAACCGATATCCAAAAATTGGGCATCCCCTTTGTGGAACCTCCTAATTCAAAATGGAAATGCATGTGCGGGTCCGTATCGCAGGACCCTTCTTTTTGCAAGCTCCCATGTAAATTCAATATCAACCCCAAAACCTGACACCCTTAAGCCTACAAACCCAAATCCTGAAAAACACTAGACCCGGACACCTAAAAATCCTAATCTTAAACCGTGTGGTTTCAGGAATCTCAGAGTTTGGGATTGGCAGTGATAGGCGACTCAAAGCTATTCCCAGTCAAAGCAAGCCTGGCTAATGCAGTCCTGCAGGTTCAAAGGTCTTCGTAATCACTAAATACAAAAAAAAAACGGGTGTGTAAGGTTTAGGGCTTATGAGCATAAACAGTTATAGAATAGCGGACAGTCAGTCACAACGGAACATGAAACCAGGGTAGTATAGGGGTTGGCGTGCGGATTGTGATTGTATGTAGTTTAGTGGTCGAAGTAATGAAAATATGTGAAAATGCGTGTGGTCCACATCATACAATTGTCAGGCAAGGTCGAGACGAAATGGGAACAATATGGCAATGTTCGGGCTTCTACATGAAAACCAACATCGAGAGCACTTTCAGGCACCTTGGAAGCCTATCCTTATACACCACTGCATTATTCCTATTTGAACAATACATGAGCTTTTGATGAAGCTACCCACCTGGTAACATCCCACCTGAAACTTTCGCGTGGCAGCAGGTAAACAATCGGATGCGGGCTGTCTGGATCCAAGTAGCGGGGCGCCTTTTGGCGACGGGCCATCTGGCATGGATGGCTTTGCTTGGCGCGCGGCTGACGCTCCCCACAGGGAAGGTGAAACGCTGGGCTCTGCGCTCAACAAGCTTGGTCCTGGAAGGACTGCATAGATACACTCATTCCACCCCCTTATCGACAAACATAATTATATCAGATGGTTAAGCTGAAATACCAGCTGCATAAACGCCCGCAACGGATAACCTACTTTGCGCAGCGGAAGGCCCGCTTCGAGCCAGCATGTAGCAGAACATTCGTGGACCAGCTTCTGTGGCTTTCGGCAAGCCACACTACCAACCCGCTCAGCTTGCCACGCTTTCGATGAGCAGACCAGCAATACTTCTTGATTACCTCTTTCGCCGTTGACGATCATGCGCTTTCTGGCCTGCATTTTGAACTGGGTTTTTCTGCGTCTCAGCTTGATTTTTTTGGCAGCAGCCACACGCAGGGTTTGTGGGGTTGAGAGTGCTCCCGACAAAGCTTTTGGTCAAATCAGCGAGGAAGCAATCAAACTCCATCCACAACCAAGGACTCAACCAGCACAACTGGATCCCGTGGATCTACAAACAAGAGTAACGGCAACAGAAAATCCGTTTTGTTCTAACACACCCTCCTATTTAATTTGTATTTTCGCTTGCCATCTCCAGTACGGCCTTAGGATTCTTACTGCCCCAGCACTCGAACCGGAATCACAAACTTGTCCATACTTGTCCTAATCCCACTCGGGAGGAGATGAGGACATGGAGACGATACAGTACGTCTGCCTTAGTTGATCTCGTCTTGAATGCTGCTGGCCAGGAACAGAATGCGTTCAAGCCTCTGAACCGCGTTACTTTCAGCTTCTGTTGTCTCTCGACTGTCCTTTGGTTGACCCACAGCTTGGCATCTTGCTGACCGACAGGTTCAAGGGTCAAAACTGAAAGTGTCATAAAAATGTTCTCGTCTAAGGATCCAAGGATAAGGCGTGTTTCAAGAAGTTTTTCACACTCACTCATGGGAAGCTAAATGGGCCTGGGCAAAGCAAAGAGTTCAAGGGGCTGACAAACAAACAACTGTGCTTCTCCGAGGGGTCCATTACGTAGATACCTGGCCCTCATGTCCCAGGATTTCCCACTGAATCTTCTTCTCCGCAGTGTTGGACGTTTTGGCTCATTGCGGGGCGGGCGGTTGTTTGCAGCTTTCTGCTTGCACACAGTCGGAACGATTCAAAACTTCTGTGCAGGCAGCAGGTTTTCACAACTTCTGAGCCCCGTCACTGAGTCTAGGGCCGCAGTAGTGCTCTACGCATCTTGTGTTCAGGTGTGATCGTCTTCACTGATCAGGCCATACATCGACATGAAACGGTTGAAAAAGGCAAGCGAGCCTCTACTCCTACAGCCCTAAACAATCTTCTACATGATGGTTCTGTCTTTACGAGTGTTTGGGACATCACTGATGCAATGCCAAGATTCAGGGGCTCTTGGGTGACATTGTTGGATGGGCTTAATAACTAGATCATGGAAAGCGCGCTCACATGCCGTCATAGGGAGGATTACCTCCGTCGCCAAGACCACCTGCAAGACGTTGGTTGGCATGTTCAAAGTTCAGGGTTAGAGGGGCTCAGACCTTCAGAGGTTGGGGCTTATAGGTGGAGTGTTTAAGGTCTATAGAGGAGGAGGGATTGGGTTGGGCCGCTTTGTAGGGCTTGGAACTTTTGATTGGAGGGCTTTGCGGCTTCTTGACATATTGTGTGATCCTTGTTGCTTGCTCCAGCCGGGGCAACTCTGTGCAGCCCTGCTCTAGGCTATAGGTTTGCTCATCTAGCACGTGGATGTCTGAGGGCAATACAAGTGTGGGTCACAAAGCCCTAGACCCAAGCATGCCTCCCAGCCCGAAATTGTGGCATCATCATGATACAAACCAATCGAATATCACCAGGTGGAATATGGGCAGCATTGACATTTATGGGAGGGGGCGATCATTTTTAGGATGGCAGAGCTTTGGGATTAGAAGCCTGTTCCTGTTTCTACGTGGTACACATTCCTTGCTGAAGGAAAGGCCGATTTGGGGGGGGTAATATTGGGGTTATATAGGGGTTATATTGGGATAATGGAGAATAGAATGGAAACTGCTACTTAGGGTTTAGGGTCTGGGGTTCAGGGCTCTGGGTTGAGGGTCTAGGGTTTGGGTTCAGGGTTCTTGGTCGTTGCACCAAACAAGCCTACGCTCAGACAGAGCGAGACCAATTGACGAAGACACGCCACCAAAGGGACTAAAAGCACAAACTGAGCTCAATCCGCCAACTCGCCAACAAAAAACGCCAAAAAAAAGCAGGAGCCAATGCTGGGAAAACAACACCAACACAGCACACACTAATCCCGGACATATCCGAAATCTGCAGTACGAGTCCTTGTACCCTTGAAACCTCGACCCGAAAGCTTCACTAGCCTACGCACTGGCTTGCGCCTTCAGGAGGGCCCCGATAATCGCCGCCCATACCTCCGCCATCTACCGGAGGATCTCCAAAGCCTCCTGAACAGTGCAGCAGACTGGCTTGCTGTTAAAGAACTAAAGCTAGCTTAGTTAAACATTCCCTATCAGCAGCCCCGCAGATGAGTACCTGAATGCCAGAAATATGTAAAATGATCACCTCTTCGGCTCTTCTTTTTGGGCTTAGCCATTGCTTGACCTACTTTTACAATCCATTTGGGGCTATAGTACCCCTATCTAAAGAATCTACCGTGCTACTCAAACGGTTTTCACCGAGCAGTTGGACCAGCAGAAAAATGTTTGGGTTTGAAACCTCACTGCCTAGGTTCTGTACAAAATCACGCGCTTTAGGGCTTAGGATGTCATACGTATCAGTAGTTGTAAGCAACTACAGGATATTACCCGTTGGTTTCAGGTTTAAGGACGAAGGGTAGCGCCTTGGATTGTGTCGGGGTTAGTGTAGAGCCCACTCAAAGCCTCTTCCTGGCCCAGGTAGGACTACGATCTCATTTTTCTACAAATTGTTAACCTTCGATCGCAAAACAGTTTCCAGTGAGCTTCCCATACGTGAAAAAGATTGGGATCGTCTGGGCTAAGGCCAAGCATTGAGGAGTTTGGCTGGAGCTTCTGTGTTTTTTTTGCCGGACCGTGTGAGAACGAGCAACAGAAGTGCATCTTAAAGCATCGTCCTTGCATCTTGCAAGACTCCACATCCTACACTCCAAACCTGAGTCCACACAACCCAGTCCAAAGGAAAAAGCCGCTTACCCAAGCTTAGTCTCGGGAAATGCTCACTAGGCTTTAGTCTGGCCTTTGGAATGGAAAGCAAAATAGAAACTACAGGGGTTCTAGGGATTCTATAGGGTTTAGGGTTTAGGGTGGGAATGAATGAAGGAATGGAACATAGAATGGGAACTACTATAATGGGTTGTATAGGAATTACTATGAGGATTTATTCCTTCATTCCTAGCAGGCCAAAGGCGGTAATTTAATTGTATTTTCTTCTAGCAGGATCAGTAGTGCTCAATTCCGCAGAATCGCTATGCTCACTTTCTTCTCCTAGTGTTATCCCCGAAAGCCGTACATTTGATGGAAGTGATATGATGTATCATGACTTGCCCGAAGCAGGTTTCAGAGTGTCAGAATGCATCCCGTACCTGCGTTCGCGGGATCCGAGCTGAAGTTTGCCGACCTCACAGCGATGCGGGGGGGGGGGGAGACTAAGTGTGGGCTTCTGCAGCAGAAGCACTCTTGTAGTACTGTTTTTGGCCAAGTGCATGACTACTAAGTACGAAGTACTTGACCCATATGGGTAGGGAATGAAGAAATAAGATATGGGGACCATTGATTATGAGGCATCCTACAGATCCTACAGAGGCTACTAGACTATAGGGATCTACTGCTCCATCCCCTACCTGCCACCAGTCCGTTTGGATCCTTTCCAAAAACCTGTTTCCTTAGCCCTCTGACATCATGATGCACATCTCCCTAAACCCTAAACCCACCAAGCCCCTAAACCCTAAACCTCGAATCCTTAAACGCCCCCCCCCCTGCCCATCTAAACCTAGCCCCGGCAGATTTTGCAGGGTCGAGATAGGGATTACTTAAAGGGCAGAAAAGGACTATCTAGGGACTATTAGGTGCAACTAAACCTCAGGGCTCAGGATTTAGGTTTTGAGGTTCAGGATTTAGGGGCGCAGCTTGGAAATTGTAGAGCATCTGGTGAAAACAGGCAGCAAGGTATTTTCTCAAATCCACCCTAGCAAGCACCGCTCCCTCAAAATCCCCTTCCCGAACCCCAAAACCTTTGAGACTATAGTCCGCCTTAAGTAGATCGAATATATCTTCGGGTATATTATCGTAAAATCCCCATATACCCCATGTTCTATCTATTTCTTGGGAACTATACGTCACAGCCTTTAATCGCAACAGGATGCCAGAAGACCCAAGTTTGAAGTTGGAGTCCAACTATCCCACGTATTGTGAATTCCCGGCCCTATCTCAGGAACTCAAGGCTTCAACTTATCTAGAGCCTATCCTCAACCCTAAACCCAAGGTCCCAAACACTCAAACCCTTAACACTAACATATCTCCCCGTCGACCCTCAACCCCTAAACCCAAAGCCCTCAACCCTAAGCCCGAAAACCCTAAACCCACACCCCGAAAGGATCCTAAATTGCCTAAGCCCGTACTACCCTAAACCATAAACCCTGAACCAAACCCCAAACCCTAAACCCTAAAACCCCAAACCCTGAACCAAACCCCAAACCCTAAATCCCTAAACCAAACCCCTAAACCCTAAATCCCCAAAACCCTAAACCCTAAACCCTAAAACCCTAAACCCCAAACTCTAAATCCCTAAAACCCTAAACCCTAAACCCTAAAACCCTAAACCCCTAAACTCTGAAGGTTGAACTGGCCTCCTTCTGGGAGGAGACCTTGATCCTCGAGAGGGACTTCGACTGCTCTGCCTTGCTTCAAGGATCAAGGCTTAAGGGTTTGAGGTTTAGGGATATAGGTTTAGGGTTTAGGGATATAGGTTTAGGGTTTAGGGATATAGGTTTACGGTTTAGTGATAAAGGTTTAGGGTTCAGGGTTTAGGGATATAACGTTAGGGGTTGCGGTTTAAGGTTTAGGGATGTTGAGGGATATAGGTTTAGGATCTAGGGAACACAGGGATGCATGCAGAGATTGATATGTAGGGTTTCGGATTTGTAGTGTTCACGGATAAGGGCTCATGACTCTCTTTCTCTCTAAGGTTCAGGCCGCGAATTTACGGTGGCAAGGTTTTGGACACAAGGGCAAAGGACTTGGAAGAACGCCTTTGGGTGGTTGCATAAGGCCACTTCTAGAGGGCTTTCGGGGAACAGGCACAAAGCTCATCTGGCTCGTGCCTGGAATGGGTTGAAGTGAATTGCAGACAAACTTTCTGATGGGGAGGACCACTTCACTGGAACTCCAAGACCTGACTGAAACCATTACTTTCGGGACCACTCTATGTACATATACACATGTGTAAGACTGTATGTGCCTGTATTCGTACACTGCAACAATTGGAGTTGATGCAGGGCGAGGTTGCTAAACTACGTGGGATCTCTAGGGTGCAAGCATCAAGGAATTTAGAACTCAGAGGGTTTAGGGATGGGAGCGTTAACAGGGATTGTAGGCTTGAAGGCCAGTGCACGGCTTCAGCATGTACCGGGCCCTTTCTGGGCTGCTGCTAGGGAACTTCAGTTCAGCTATCGGTATAGGAAGCCTATTGTTCACGATGTTTCCATATCATGGCACCTCAAACTAACTTCCTTAACAGCAACTCCGCGTTGTGTGTATGCATCCTACGCTTCCCGAATGCAAGCTGGTCTGGCCAAATGGATGGATTAGACAATTCTCTGTCCCAAGATTGACTCTCATAGGGTTTAGCGTTTAACAGTCGTACCTGTAAGGGTACAAATGCTTAACAACAGTAGAATTTCCCTACGCCTGTGCTGCAATTACTATTACCCAAAACATGGACACGTCTGCTGGGTACTTGGACCCTGTGCGTTCTATGGTCGGCAACCAAGAGAGGGGCAGAACAGTTTGTTATTCGAATAAACGGCCGGCAGAATAACGATTTCTTACTGGTGGTTAGCAGGGAATAAGGGAATGTAGTCCTTATATAACCTCTATGATATACTCCCTTATTCCCTACTACTAATCAGTAAGATTTTCTCTTTCACCCGCGTGCAGAATTCAAGCAAATGGGGCTTCCCACAAGAGGGCAGATTGAAGACCCCAAGATGCATGAGGACTACATAAGGTTTTCTGGGTTACCCAAAAAGGATATAGGGTTTAGCATTAGGCTTTAGGGACTCAGGATTTTGTTGAGAAAGTCCCATATTCCAGGAGCCTCCTGTAAAGTTGGGATGCAACAAGTTCATGGACCAAAGGCTCTGCACATACTCCCCTACTTAATCCTTCGTGAAGGGTGACGGCCTACACCCTACAACCCTCGCGCAAGAACAGGCTCGAAAGCTGAACACTAAACAACTCCACCATGTGGCTAAAATAATCCCAGTTTCCATTTCATTTTCCATTTTCTTTTCCATTTGATTCTCCATTATAGTAGTTTCCATTTTATTTCCATTATCCCCAATATATTTCAAAGATAGCTTACGTTAATCCATGATGCTGGCTAGTGCAAAGTGGAGGCAGATCTTCTCACTTATCCACGCTTGTACCTTCTTAATGCAGGGTTATATTGGGGTTATATTGGGATAATGGAAAATAAAATGGAAACTACTATAGTATATTGGCTCCTTTACATGGCAGTTGTCTTTGTGATGTGGCGCTGGGTCGGATCCTATAAGTTGCTTTTTGTAGGCGCTGAGGGCTGTGGCTGCCTTCTCCTTGCACATCTGCTCCAGCGCAGTCAGGTCTGAGGTGGCTCCCAGACGCTGAAGATACCCCCAAGGTGGGCGAGCAACAAGCAGAAACCAGTTTAGCGCTTGGGTGGATGCCTCGTCGGGGGCACGGATAGGCATGAAAGTGGTGAAGTGCTCGGAGAACATTTCACACAGCGGACTGTCAGGCTCGAGGAATCTTGCGTAGTAAGTGCAGAAACACAGAGCCACAGATCTGCGAACTACGGCCAGGGCAAAGGCGACCTCCTCTGCAGTATTGCATCCATTCTGAGGGATCGTTCTGGTTAGATCTGGCAAAATTCTGGCGGCTGTTTCTCGGTCCTCCACTGTTGGCTTCTCCATTGAAAGAGATGCAGATGCTGCATGGCTCCCTGCAAACTTGCTCTGGGTCTCGTCGTAAGTATAGAAATACATCCACGACAAAACAGGATGGAGCGGGATGTAAATCGGCTGCCCATCAACCCCGCCGAACCACCTCACAAATGACTTATATGCCAGGTCACAAAATTGCCAGGCCAACAAGGCATCGCTGGCCTGTTGAAAAAACTTCCTGTGAACCTGAAAACGTACAACGTACATTCAATACTCGTCCTCAGACGATTGCAGCTGGGCACCGTTCCGTTCCTTCTCCGTTAAGCCACCCTTTATCTGCACAACTCCCTTGCGGATTCCCTCCTCAATCTCCTCTACTGAAGATGGACGGACGCCATCTGGGCGCGTTGCAAACCCTGTGAAAATCAGAGACGTTGCTGACGGCTTGGCATCACACTCAGCAGCCTCATGAGCACACGCCTCTGTACGCTGCGGATCCCACAAATCATCATGGTCAGAGAACATCACCCAAAAGGATGTGCTTGCACTCTGGGTGGTTGCGAGCTGTTGTGTCAAAATCCGATAGTGTTGAAACTGCGACCCCGGTTGGGGCTGCTCTAGACAAATCTTGCAGCATCCAGGCCTCGCAACTTCTAACAGAGACCGAACTTTGCTTGGAATGTCCTCACTCGTAGCACTCCATGATATGGCTAGGGCTGGTTCAAGGGTCTGGCCTTCAATAGAATTGAGGCAAGATTGCAAATGCTCAAGCTGAGCCGTACTGCTAACGTGAACTGCCATTAGCGCCAAAACCTGGACCATGCCTTGAGGCCCCGCGGTCGTCTGCACATGCAGCTCCATGCGCAAGCTGTCCATGAGTTGTTTGATTGCTTTGTCCGCTGGTTCAAGATTCCTAGCTTTTACGATATGGCCGAAAGCGTCTAGCTTCCTTCCCAGCTTGGATAGTGCCAAGCCCATTCGATACTGCACCTTCACGACCTCTCCGCTGCCCTGAGAGATAAAGGTTGTGCAAAGATCCACGCACTCTTGCCAAGCTTCTCGCTTGACTGCACAGAGCGTCAGGTTTTGCTGAATCTGTCTTCGAAGCAGCATAGAATCGCCGGTCTCGCGTTCCGCTCCTAACGCAAGTACGTAATATCTTTGCGCGTCATCTATCTGCCCCTGCTTTAGAGCAGCATTGCCCTTTTCTTTGAGCACACTGAGCTGGTCAGCCATTGCTTAAAGCTGGTCCTGTTCGGCCGATGCTTTGTCTCATCTGTGGATGTGTGGTCAACCAACGATTATCCTTCCCATGCATTTCCACCCCCTGGTAGATAAGACGCCAGGAGCCTGTCATACAATTACTATGGCCCTGGTCTGGAGATCAGAAATGGTTCCGTGGTAGAATCAAACTCTAGCCCAGTTTTTGGATCTCTTGGGTATGCAGACACACTTGTGAGCTTGAAAGCAGAAGACAGTGTGCAGAAGCTCATCATTCAACATGGTACATCCGACCACGCTGCTTTTCAAAGGTGCACGGATGTGAAGATTTCTTGTCGGTGAAAGGCTCCGCAGTTCCTTTAGAGCTCTACCACAAGAGGTTGTCCAGACAATTGGAAGTTGACAAGCTATTGTGAGTAATGGGCTTCATTCGAAAGGGACCCTCAACACATGAGCTTCCAAAGCAAGAGCAATAGGCGACAAAAATTGCAAGTCTTCCATCTGTGAAGGACATACTGGTGCTATCTTAAGTTCTTAGAAGTACAAAATGAATGGACATGGCCATTTGCCCCCTCCCTAAGCCCTACACTCCTAGAAGCCTCCTGTAGCCCTCTTGCGCATAATTTCAGCTTTAGGGTAGCAGAATGGTACCTTGGGTACTGCCCCCCCTC